TTCCTTCAGTCAGCTTACAAATTGACGTATGAAGGATATGGGGATCCAGAATGGAATGACCAATATATGATGAATGGATATGACACATGGTATAAAATGAGTTCTATATGGAGGGATAAAAAAGGCATTTTTACACCCAAAACTGTTTTGAAATCTGTCCCCAAACCCAAAAGCCGAAGTAATACTGCCCTTACGGCAGATAAGAGGGGCTCTCTTGCAGCTGCTAAAACCACCATGACGTCACCACCCCCTTATACGGGGCCTCCGCAATCTATTTCATGCTCTGTCAGTGTTCCTCCTACAGTGCCTTCTATTTACCCGTCACTGACAGAAATGATTAAAACTAAACCAGACTCCCCTGACAGCACTGAGGGCACTACTTCAGCCTCTAATGTGGCTGCTGTATGGGTTGCTAAACCACGAGGGATAGAGATAATTCCGCCCTCACCCTCTGTTCTGAAGGATCTCATATCTCTTTTACCAGAAGTGGATAAACCACTGCAATTTGTAGACATGTGATGTATGGACTAATGTAGGGGGTCTGGATTTGGATGCGCGACAAGCTAATCCAATGTTCCTGTCCACATTTATGAATAACTGCCATGAGGCACACAAAAATGTCCTGAAAACACATTTGAGTGGAGCTTCCTGCCTGGCTAAATGCTTCTATGGTTTCCACCTCCCCATATCTGGCTAGCAGCATGCTACCACCTCTCGACATCCTTTCCATACAAGCATGTGCCTCCTCACAAGACCATACTTACTGGTCTGAATGTGATGACATCGCTGATCCTAACGGTATAATGCTAGATGGCAAAGGCCGCTTATGCCTGCCATCATCCTGTGCACCTTTTCTCGTCCGCGAGTTTGACGGTGTTACACACCGCGGCCGAAGAGGGGTCATAGACACAATGAGTTCCTTTTTATGCATCAATAATTTACAGCACCATGTCAATAACACGCTAGATAGATGTCTGATATGTGCTCAAAATAACATCACTAAACCTCAAGCTAAACATCAACAATTGCCCCTCCCTGAAACACCTTTTCAGGAGTGGCAGGTAGATTTCACACATCTGCCAAAGAGGGGTCCCAATAAATATTTACTGGTTTTTGTGGACAAATTTTCAAAATGGGTTGAAGCCTTCCCATGTGGTAAAGAAGACGCTAATACAGTTATCAGATGCTTGACAAGGGAAATCATTCCACGATATGGTATACCATGTGCCATTGATTCAGACAAAGGAACCTCATTTACCGCCAAAGTGGTACAAAATTTGGCAAAAGAACTTCAAATTAATTGGCAGTTACATATCCCATACCATCCACAATCATCTGGTATAGTAGAACGAACTAATAGGACCATCAAGGACAAATTAAGAAAGGCTATGCAACATGCAGGGCACTCAAATTGGCTCGCCTTGCTACCTGTCGTTCTGGCAGACATGAGGATGTCTCCTCACAAAAGCCTTCACGGTTTATCTCCTTATGAGACTGTGATGGGACGACCTTTTCCTTCGCCATGGAGGCAAAAGGGTACCACGCTGGGTGATGGTTCTTTGGATGTTCATATGAGTGAATATGCACAACAGTTACTAACAACATTGCATGCATACTGGACTAATATACATTCTGGTTCAGCCCCGATGCCGGTAGACCCAACACACCCCTTTAAGGCCGGTGACAGAGTAATGATTAGACAGTTCAATAAAATGAGCACAGAACTGGGGGACCCCAAATATGGCCCCCCGACGGATGTCGTGGCTGTAACCAGAACCGCCGTCTTAACCTCCTCTTCTCCACAGTGGATCCATGCAACCAGAATAAAAAGAGCTCCTGTAGAATGATGTTTTGTACAATGATAATCTGTCTGCAGACTCTCTGTTTTACAGATCCTTTGGGGGCCCCCACAACACAACCAGCACCTCCACACCAGCAACCACCCTCTGGAACAGGAATAGGATCGACATGACTTGGTTCTGGACATTGGGACTGTTACTCTCTCTTGTGACTCAAGCTAATGCAGCCAGGCTGAAACGCTGGACACATGATCATGAATTCGGATGGGCAGAGGATGGGGCTGACAATCCTATTGGAACTAATATGTGGTATCAATATGTGAAAGTTTTAACTAGATCATATAATGTATCTGGTTGTTATGTATGTTCTGTTATGCCTCATTCAGCCAAGCAAACTCCTCTTTATGCCAAACCCATGAATAAGACCTCTGCTAAATGTTTTGCCAGTTTTGCAGGATCAGGGTACCAGGACCCATATATAATTGTCGATGACTACGATCCATACAGGATTGGCATTAGAAATGGTACATGTGATGCTCTATTTTGGGTAAAATTTGGCCATGCTAAACCCGCACCTATTAGCCACAAGGTTTTTATTAACCACTCTATTACACACCCTGTGTGCTACAACCAGACCAAGGGCTCTCATTTTATGGGAAGCACTGTCAACTGTCAGCAGATTTTCTGCTCCGGAGAAGGAGCCCCAGTTGATGTGTCAGGACCTTCAAACGGCACTTATGTGGTCCAGGGTGGGTGGTGGTTGTGTGGGAACAACGCCTACATGTCACTACCGGCCAACTGGACGGGGCAGTGTGCCCCTGTGCATGTGACTGATCACACTTTTATTGTGACAGCCCAGGTCCTGTCAGCGCAGCAAAGAGTTAAACGCAGTGTCCCTGAAATGAAGCCCCATGACTCTGTATGGGGTACTGATGTGCCCGAGGATTTCAAGTTGTGGACCACTGGTAACAAAATGGTATTGGCTCTATTTCCGCAAATAGGTGTGGGAAAAGCTCTATTGAGAATTGAGACCCTGGACTATCGCATGGGCCTATTTCTAAATGCCTCAAAAATTATTAATGAAGCTCAGAATAAAGAATTAGGTAATCTCCGTACCATGGTCCTGCAAAATAGAGTGGCTCTAGACCTTTTGACAGCATCCCAGGGGGGGGTATGTAAATGAGTACTGCTATGTCCACTCTCCAAGGGTTAAAGACTACTATGACTTCAGATTATGTCCCTGACACGACTTGGGGTTGGATGACTGGTTTGTTTGGCTGGGTGACCCCTTTCCTTACTATGATAATTCCTGTATGTATTATTTTCCTTCTTATTTGTTGTTGTGGTCCTTTTCTCTTGCAATGTTTAATGACTCGAATCTATGCCACAATGGACAGTATGATGGGTCAACGGTATGATAAGATTCCTCTGCGTTAGGCCTTTGGCCTAAAAGAGGGGACTGAGAGAACATTCTGTCTCTTTTTCAATGTGCTTGCATGAGAAGCAGAAGCGCCTGTGGTTTTGTGTGTGTGTGTGTGCGTCGGAGGTCTGAGGTCAAGGCCTGGTTTCAATCTTGCAGGCTGCACCCACACTGGAAAGTCCCGCTCTATACATTTTCTCTTTACTTTGCTTGTATAACATGCCCATATTAGGAGTGTCTTCCTGCTGTTGTATAACTTTTAGAGGTCAGCCCACAAATGTATATATGTCCCTGCTCATCCTTATGTATCAGGCTTGCAGAATAAACCATTCTAATTACAGTATGGTCTCTTCTCCTGTCTCCGAGTCGACTCGATGAACTTTGCTGAATCTGGTGCCTAATTTAGGGAATTCTTACAGTCATTCAAGCCATTGTTGACCCAAACTTCAATTACTTCTTAATCTTATGTTGTTTCAACCTTGGATTTATCTACAGAAGATATTATTTAGAATGTTGGTAACTGTTGATGGTAGTTTTTGACTTTCATAGTATTTTTTAATTTATTTTGTTTATTTTTCATGCTATGAAAGCTACCGACATTTTTCAAAGTGTCATCTTCTGCAAAGAAACTCATACAGGATTTAAAGAACATAAGGGTGAGCATGATAATTATTAGATTTTTGGGTTACTATTCTGTTACATAGTGAATTGATCCAGGCTGTTTGAAGCTTAAATGCTGTTTGAGTTTGTGTAGACTGAGGCAAAGCATTTTGCATAGTATACTTGCGGTTTCTGTGCCAGGTATTTTATTTCATTTTAATGTGTAAGCTTGTCTTTGCTTATCCTGCCTTATGCTCCATTTGTTCAGAACTTTGGAGAATGTTCTTTAATAAATGTTCTGCAAAGCTGGAAGTTGTTTCTTCACTTAAAGTGGGGGAAGGTGTGGGAGGTATTTTCTTTTAAGAGTTTTCATCTCATTTTAGGTTTTTGTGTGATCTTAAAAAAAGTCTAAATAGGCTGGATTTAAGGTAAAATATTCTACTTTCAATGTATTTTCTCCCCCTAAAATTATTATTGTCGTGCTTCAAAAAAGAGAAAACTGCTTAATTTTAAGCTTGTTTGTCTAGTTTTAAGAACTAACTGTGGTTCCCCTTCGGTTGGGGAACTTCAGTGCCATAGGTGGATGAAATCTACGATGGGAGGATTCGGATCAGAAGCCGCTTGTCTGGAGAGTATTGAACGGGCCAATGAATGAAATTAATTGGCAGCGTAAGCTTGCGCAGGTGTGCGGCATCTGCAATTATCTCAGCATATAAGCACACCCGAAGCTAGCAAACGCCATCCTTTTCGCTTCAGATCCTTTCTGAGTGAGTCGATGAGGGTTCCTCTTGCTGTTCAGCACTTCAAAGCGAACGAGTGTGTCTCCCTGTCCAGAGTGGGTCTTTGCGGTGGCAGACGGTCGAGCTGGGTTTCTCCCTTGCCTGCGGTTCTTTGGGTCCGGTCCTCCAGAGCGGTGCGTATTGTTGCAAACTTTCCTAAAAGAGCAACACAGTCGTGCAGCACGTCCTTTTCAGGATGGCGCTCCGACTGTGCGTTTCTGGATGCGGGGGTTTCCTGGCTCCGGATGATGGACACGATCACTGCATTGCATG